GTCAAACCTCCGATCAATTTTTCACTCACGTAATTCCTTCGCTATACAATTTTCCGATGTGTGTACTACTTGCTGTGTTGAACCTGCCAGCGTCGCAGGAGACCAAATCGGTTTTGAAATTCCCTTCCGTTCAAACGCATCCTTGCTCTTCCTCTTGGTTCTACTGTGCAATAATTGAAGAGTGGACATGGCACAATATATTAATAAACAAAAAGATCGCGATTGAAATAAGAAATGAATTTCAATAACATATTGTAAAGTAGTCAATCACGGAACACCTTCCTTTCTAAGATTGTAATTCTGATAACATGAAGGATAGAGAAGAATATCTCTAAATTATTATAGCTAGGCAATTCCCCAGCACCTAGAAAATTCGATTTAAATTAAAAATATACTTTCTTCTTCATAATAAATTCTCTAATTTTCTTCATAATGATTCTTCTTTTTTGAGATGCTCCTTAAGTTACTTCACAGAAGTATATCAGTTTTATGGACATCGCTGTACTTAATTTACTGCGATACGTCAAGAGCATTAAATCGCTCTTGCTGTAGTTAGTAACTACATTTTCTGCTCGCCAACGATCCTTTGTTACTCTTCGCATACACTCGTCTTGCTTTTCGTCGTATTAATACGGATACTAGTGTTGAGTCGGCTGTACGATGTTGCAGGGCATCACTAATAGATGCTAAAATACAATTTGCTGATAGATACGCGAACAGCCTTCGGAGGAGCAGATTTTAGCAGGAGTAGAATATTAATTAACGTCGCACGATTCCATTAAAATGGTGCGCTGTCTAAAGGATATATCCATTTATCGTTAATAGGCTATTTAGCGCGACACGTGCGATTTATCCGAGTATCATTACTCTTTGTGAAATTATAACCTTGTGAACAAACGTGTTACATACGTAATGATCATGATTTTGCAATAGAGAGTCAAATGTTAATTAATTACGCTATTACTAATCGTCACAAAATTCATATATTATAATTATAATATATGTATATATATGCATTGTAATTAGCAAATATAAGAAATATAAGAAATTGCTTTATTATAAAATTATCCTTATTTCTGTGAGTGCATATAATTATTTCAGCTTTCTCAGACGCGTTTATACGAATTTCTATGTACATTTAACATAAATTTATTTCAAAACATATATTGTAGTAATCGATACCTTTACGTTATAAAGTAGTATCCATTGTTAGAGATACCAATACTGTTTAAAGTTCTTCGAAGAAGTTTTGTACACGCAGAAACTTCTATATGTTGCAATTAATAGAGTCATTATTGAACGAAAGAAGGTTTAATCCTCAAGAGACGTACTGAGAACGTTTTTGCGAATTCTAGCACTAAAGGGTTGCCTCTCATTCTTGGTCCAATTTCGCCATCAAACCGGTGCGTATATGAAGCAATGAGATGAAATACCTCAGGGAATATAGGAGAGGTAGAGAATTCTGTAATACCTATATGATGTGGATGGGTAAGGCGACTTGCTGTTCGTTCTCTCTGAAGATCGACTTCTAGGCTATCGCAATATCAACTCTCGCCGAACCCCATGACTTTTCGAATTGCTGATTGATTACGAGATTAGGATTGATCACGTAAAAAAAAACACATGGCTGTAATAAATCACATAACCGAATGAATCATGTAGACATAATCTTCATCCATCTCTACTTCTCCATTTCTCTAATTCTTTCCTTCTCGCACGTTATGACCCTTAATGTGCAAAAACGAAGAAATAGCTTGAAAACGGCCAGTAGGATGACAGTTCAGGAGGACCAGCACGATCCAGGGATTCACGCGAGACATTTCTCTTCTCCGCAAAAAATCTAGGACGTAGACGACAATGGGACGTGTTTAGAAATAAATTATATATTTAATATAAAATTTATATATATTTAATATAAATCCTTGTCATACACAGCATCGTGTATATGGAATAACCAATAATTACTAATATTGTGTAATGTATGGAATAGGCTAAAAATATTTAAATTTTATTGTCTTACTACACAACCTATAATTATGACCTGATTAATCGATAAGCCGATAGGTATAAAAAAATCTCTGATAAATAAGCTTGAAAGTTGTAAGAAATACTGTCTGTTTAATATCATACAATTGCTAATTATTAACAATTTTATATAAAAGAACAAGTTACCTTTTTAAAAAAAAATCGTGGTTTGTTCAAGCTGTAGCTTAGAAAATTCACAAACCACATCTTTTTAAAATAAACGTTTCAGCAGAACTAGATTTTTCCATAAATTCTGCTCTTTGTAGAATTGCATAACCGAGCATTCCGTGTGAAACAAAAATTAAACACGTGCCCTTTCTTACGAAGTTCTTTCAAAGAAGTTCTTTCTACATTTCGCGTTTTGCTTTTCTGTCATTTTTTTCATTCTTCGACGAAACTATCATTACTTCCCTCGAAAATACAAATAATGGATACGCGTCTTCATGGAACGTTACATCTCTACATAATAGTGCTTGTCAATGTACACAATCAGTTCATACGCAAATTAATCCGAGTAGTAATTTAGCTAGTCTATGAGTGAACCGCTAGATTTACTTGCCTCCGTATGCACTCATCAACATGCACACTTACATATCCATTTTACTTAACAATGCATCTGCGAGTTTCTCTCATAGAATTTCACATCTCGCCAGTGGCAAAACATATAAAGGACAGTAAATTTTTACAAAGTACAGAGCGATAAAGTTTCTTTTATCGGTATAAAATAATAAGTATATATAATTGTCGTAATCACTTTGTGACTGATACCTTGCAAATCTAGCATTTCAGTAAATTTTTATTAAGAAAATATATTTGATAAAATTGATTACGAAATATATGCTATGAGAAATAAGCAAGCATTTCAAGTATACGTTTTGCATACAATAAGCGTATCAAGGTTTCACTTGAGCGGATCTTGCATGCTGGGAAACTAAAAAGCCGGTTTCCATACTGGCAAGACACAGTCAATCTCTCAATACAGAAATACGGAATTTTTCGCTGTTTACTGAAACGGTTTCGCTATTGATCGGCCCTGGTCGCAGCAGTTATTCGGTTAGTGAATACGGAAAGTTTCGCCGACGAGAGGGATTCTGAGATGAGCAGAATCCTCGCGGGAGCGAATTTTCGTCGGGGACTTTGCGGCGCGTTCTTACCGGCGCACAAAGCCGCTATGTTTACGTGTATCTACATGATGCCTCTTTCACCCGGCCATGGCTTCGAGTAGTTGCATGTTGACAACGTAAGCAGTACAATATATAATTCGGTATACATTCTATAATATAATTCAGCAAAGGAATTAAGCTGGGAGGAACAACTTAAGAAACCGCCACAGTATGAAAAATGTCAATGAAGATAACCTCGTGATATCTTTCGTAATGGAATTCGGAAATTTAAGCTCTACATGTTCTTTAGATTATATATAGAAATGTCTAAAAATTTTTTTAATATATATATATATATATCTCAAAATATCATTCTATTCATAACTTTTCTGTTTCAGTGAACGATAAAATGACTTAAAATGTCAAAAACGTTTTCTTTTGACAGTTTTTGGAAAGATATATTATATTGTTGAATTAAAGTTCCTTCCCTTTTTTCTCAACGTAGTAAAATAATCTGTCGTACAAAAACTGCTCAAATAGGATTTATGTTGGATATATTAGTGGATATTTATTTAAGTGGACGTCCCTGCCAATAGGTGACAGCACCTTATGAGGCAAACCACAGGAACAAGAATTCCAGTGAATTAATTTTTTGTATATGCCGGTTTCGCTACAGAACAGATATTTAATAAATATTCATTGAAACTTGGCAAAATACAGTAAAATAAATCTCATTTGTATTATCGATATAAAAAAAATGAATTTTGCGCGCTATAAAAGCAAATCAGTCAATAACGTTCCGTGAATCTTTCAAAAAAATTAATGTATTAGCTTTGCAATAATCATATATTTTCAATTTATTATTAAATTTACTCAATTTACTATTATGTATAATAATAATAATCAATACATTGTTCGGTACTATTTTCTTGTAGATATAAATTCTCATTAGATTTGAAATTGTACAAGTTAAATCGTATTACTAAGTACAGATATCACAATATTTTCTCATCGTCATCGGAAGTCAGATAAACCGGTTCTCGTCAAGCTGCTTATACAAAAAATAATATAAAATCTATAACGCATAACTTTCTTTTTGAAAGCATGAGATGATCTTTTGTGGATGGACTAGATCTGATTTAGTTTTATATGTGCAGGGTTTAGTTAAAAAAGATAAAATCTTCTTACAAAGAGTTCTTTAGAGCTCTACTTCGCTGCATTACTTCCGTGTTATAACATTACGAGTATAATAATATTATGTCTGTGTTAATCGACGTACATTTAACATTCTCTCGCTATTCAAAGTTAAAAGTTTAATGTAATCTGCAATGTAATTCTCATAATGTATAGATCCAAACTAAATTTTTACAGGTCTAAATTAAATTTGTATCAAAGTTATTTAAAATTTGTGCATAATTATTGCATTCATTAATCTAATTAATATCGAAAAATCATGCAAGTTTAATCGAAAATCTTTTGAAGTTATATATATAAAATGAATTTTATTTATGCCTACATTTCTGTGCAAAATCTTAATAAATCTAAATAAATAAGTAAGCTGTCGCAATTTCAAGAATACGGAGTGATTTTAATTTTCTATTATATTGAAAACACTTCCAGCTATTTTAATGAGCTATTTGAACGCAACGGCATGTAAACCTCAGATTTTATTTGTAGAAAGAAAAGAAAATTTTCCAGTATAAAAGGAATAAAAATGGAGGTAGCAAAGTTGCCGTAAAAAGTATTCGAAACTTTTGCATAACTTGAGACGTGTCTGAAAATTTGCGCGAATTTGGCAGGCAAATTTGAGGTTCGCGTTCGGTGGTAGAGAGACCGACGTAAAGGTAGACGTGCGATAGGTCGCCCACTCACCTCGCTGCGCCGCAGGTAGATCCGCAGCCGGTCGAAGCGGACGAACGGGGGTCGCAGCACGACGGTTATATGGGTCGAAGTAACCGAAAGCACGAGGGTACTACGACAAGACTTCCGTTGACGTAGACCGATGCACGGTTACTACGCGCGCCTCCCCGGTCACCAGTTTGGTTCTCCGTCCGCCAAGCGGGAAAAAAGGAAAAAAGTGGAGAAAAAGACAGAGAGAGAAAGAGATACGAGGCGGGTGAATAGAGAGAGAGAAAGAGAGACAGAGATAGCGTGTGCGATGCGGTGTGAGAGATCGAAGTCTCGTGGCAAACGTTCGTGGACTGAGTGAACCCTGAGTTCGGACTGAGCGGCGCTTAGGCGACGTTAGCGCCACACAACGGAGGGTGCTGGAATCATCATTGATCCGCCAAGGGTGGTATGGGAAGAACCCGTTAAGAGAGGGGTGTGGAGTGGGGATTGGTCGCCTCGTTGGCGGAGGGACAAGGATGAGCGGAGATAGAGGCGAGGTTGCGGTAAGACATACCACCCACCACCACTGCTACTACCACCGCCGCCGCCGCCACCACCACCGCCACCACCACCACCACCACCACCACCACCACCACCACCACCACCACCACCACCACCACCACCACCACCACCACCACCACCACTGCCACGATCATCGCGCGGTAGCAAGGATTAGGGATGGAAGAGAGAGAGTCGATGATGCGAACAGGGAAGAAGGCGGAGTGCAGAGCGTAAACGTGCCGCTTTTACTCCCCTAAAATCTCGATCATTTTTGCCCTCCATCCATCCCTCTTTCTCTCTTCCCTCTCTTCCTCGCACCACTCTCATCTTTCTCCCCTCGCCGTCACTAACCCTCCGTTCAGTCTCCCTTACCGCCCACCGCCACGCCTCTCTTCTCATTTTCGTATCCTTCAGTCTTCTTCTTTGTCTCCCCCCC